ACCACCTACTCAATTTTTCTGTAAATGTAAAACTATTCTAATAAATAAAATTTATTAATAAGAAAAGAATGAAAAAAAGGAAATCATAAAAAAACCCACTAAGGCTAAAACAACAACTATAACATTTTATAGTTAAGGTAATCCTTTGTTCCAAAAATTATTTTTCCAATATAGGGACTGGATAGAAAAAATTAGTTGTCTAAAATCCTATAAAGACTGTAAAAAAACCAAACCAAACCAAACAAAAACCTTCCACTGATTAGAAGGAAAACTATAGGAAATTTACTGTAATTAGGCTGCAGGTTTAGAACAATAATTTCCTCTAATTGGATTTGTCAAAGTGCTCCCGGAGATACTGATTTTATTCAATTCAGTACACACTGACTGAGTACCTGCTACTTGAAAGGCCCTCATTTTGGCACTGGGCAGTGGCTATAAAAGCTAAATGAGACATGGTTCCTAAAACTAAAGAAGTTAGCACCCGTAAGAGCATAAAAATATAACAAATACTCAAATACAAGGCAGAACACGTAAAAAAGAGTGAAGCACAAAGGAAGGGATCATTCCAAGGAAAGGCACAATATTAAAAAAGGGCAAAGCCCTTGCAGGGCTGATGAGGAGGTCTTCTTGGCTGGGGCATATGTTAGGAGCAACCACGGGCCCCAGAAGGCAAAGGGTTGTAGGAATGAGAGACAGAGTATGACCAGAGTCACCCTTCTGCAGCATGACTCAGGCCAGAGGCGGATCAGTGAATGATGGCTGGGAGGGCAGAGGGGACTTAAGGCAAGGACAGCACTATAGTGGCCTGGGAGGCGTGCAGTAGGGTCACAGTCACGGCTTCTTAGTGAGAATGGAAAGGAGGGAACACAAAGATGTGTAGCTTTCGTTGTCCACACGGCATTCAGTGAGATTCTACACGATTCGCTGACTATGCTAGTTGTAGAAGGTCCTAATCACCACAACTGGGCCTTATCTGTCCTGCTCTGACACATGCCCTGGTACTTGAGTGAAGACACTGAGACAAAAGGAGGCCTCCCTAGCTTGCTCAATATGATGCAAATCAACTTACATGCCTTTCCTTCCCTTCCTATTCTATAAAGCTTTCATTTTTCCCTGATTTTAAAAAGAGTACATGCCCATCATATAATTGGGAGTATGCATAAAATAAAAATCTTTCCTAACTGTACAACCTAGAGATAACCACTTTTATCATTTTGGTCTATTTCCTTCCACTTGTCATTTTTCTATGCATGAGGCACTGGGAAACAGTGCAATTGGTTAGTCAGGGAAAGCAAACGTAGTAATGTGCACTATTGCAGGTTATACCTTATGCAATAAATATAAAACCAGCACTGCACATAGAAAAAAGATATTCTTTTGAACACAGGAATCCACAGCTGCTTGTCTAAAGGAGCTTCATTTCTGAGAAGCTTTTTTGTGTATACTTCATGGCAGTGAGCTGTGCTATAATACATTTTGATTTTATGCTCTGAAAACACATAGCACAAAACATAAGGGTTTATCTTAACAAAAGAATATAATGGTAATATGAATGTATACACAAAGCACTCTAGGTCCCCAAACACTCTACTGCTAAAAAAACTGTTTTATAATGCATTTTTAAAAGCGAAATTCTTCGGCATGCAACTCCCTTGTTGTGGAAGAACAGACTGTGTGTATTTCACATGAATATAAAAAGACTCATATTTACCAAATTGGAGTAAACATACACACATACGTTTGTATCCTTTTCTCTCTGAGCATATCTTATATATACATAATACAATATTTAAAAATGTTCTTTAATGGATGATCTTTTAATCTATCTAAAATTTACCAATTCTTCAAGAACCACCTCTAGTCTTGCCTCCACTGTAAGCATTCCATGATAGCCTTGGTTTATTATCTCTTTCCTGGATTATATTAAGAGATCCTCTAAATTGCTTTACGAGTCTTTAGTCTGCTCCCTTTCCATATCATCTTGCTGAAATAATCTCCCTCAAACATAGTCCTGATCATGTCACTCCCCAGCTCAAGATACCTACAATGGTTCCCAATGGCTACATGATAAAGCATACACTTCTTGGTCTGGTTTCTAGCCCAAAGTCCCTGTGCCCCAAACCCCCAAACCCCCTACATTCTCACCAAACTCAACCTTCTGTGCCTTTACTTCAACTCTGCTTCCTGCCTGGTATTCTAATATTACCCTGTGTTTTTTTCTATCTTGCTGACAGTTATTTGTGTAGTTATCTTTTCTTTGGATTAGGCTATAAACTCTTCGAAGTCAGGAGCTGCAATTTCAACTCAGTGCAATTAAATGTAAATCACAGTCACTGAAGACCCAGTCTATTCCAGTTACCATGCAAGGTGTTAGGAGCAGAGAGACGAATAAGAAGACACAGTCCCCACACCTCAGGGATCTCACTGCCCAGAGAGGGAGACAAACACCTAACAAATAATCCTGATTCGAGGCACTCCCTGAAGATGCAGGAACACACACAGACACAGTGGAAGTATGGAAGAGGAGATGGGCTCTGCCTGTGGGGGCTGGGCTGTGAGTAGGTGGTTTCTAAAGGGACAGGAGAGTGCCGGAGAGCAGACAGAAGCACAGCATGGTCTGTTCAGAGGAGGTCAGAACGGTGGGTATTTCTGCAGTGTGAGAGAAGTCTTGGATTTGCCTTTAGAGGTAAGAGGATGAACACCATTGCTGGCCTTGCAAAATATGATAGGGGGCTTAAAAACCAAATGCTGTTTAACATTTCTTCCCAAACTGTCTTTGGTTCTTCCTCTAAATGTTTATGTTAGTCTGTGGTTTTCCATGTGTCTCTCTACAACTAGGATATAAACTTTCAGAAGGCAAAATCTAAGTCTGTATTTCTCAAATCTCTCAAAGTCCTCAGCATGGTTTCCAACACATAGTGGGAATTTTAGCAATCTTTTAATTTCATAATCTACTCGCCTGTTAGTTGTATACTCGGTACTTAAAGAGAATTTAAAACATCTGTTAGAAGAATTAGGCAATGATGAGTCAAGACAAAAATTGAAAGGGCCAGCATGTTTTGCAGAAATGTTCTGGATTAGTGATTTTGCCTCTAGAACAATTTTATTTGCTGTTAAAAAGCTATTTAATATGATATGTTCCAAAATGTCATATTTTAGCATGTTTATGATTGTCAGTAACTAGGTAATCAACAGTAAGATAACAAGTCTGGATTTTCAGCTATGATAATTGGATTTGCCTCTCAGAATCGCTTGTATGTAACGATGGTTAAATCAATGGATGGCATTCCCTGCAGACTGGCCAGCCCTGTCTCTCCAATCCCTACTGAATAGGACAATAATTTGTGGCCTAAAATGACATCTTCTCTATATACTGTGAGTGTGATCTAATAATCAATAATAGTAGCTGGGCAGAGGAAATAGGGTAAATAAAGAACAAAGTTGGAAAAGTTAGCATCACCTTGTATCAAAGTTATGGTAAACCAGGGCAACAGCACCTTGTGTTTATTTGGGGGAGAAATTGGGGAAGAAATAGGGAGTGGGAAATTCCTTCTTTCATAGGATCGACTCCAACGAGGGGGAAACAAGAAAAAGTAAGCTTCTCTCTCCCGCAGAAATAAGAAAAAAAAAAAAAGAAGGAAAGGCTATAAACAGTAAGGAAAACACAGGTAGGTATAAATATAGATATAAATATACAAAAAGAAGACTACGAAGAGACCAGCAGAAGGTATGTGGCAAAGACACGGGTACAGAAAAAAGGATCAAGTAAAAGAGACAATGAAGGAATGAAGGAGTTGAAGTAGAAAATCATGACAGGGTGTGTGTAAGTCAGACACTGGGAAGATTCTCTGCATGGTTATCTGACTCCCGATTCTCTGCTGGGACGCTAACCCACGCTGCCATGTGCATTCCTCCTTACTTGGTGGTAGTGATGATGAAGGAAATGTATGTGTCATGTTGCTAATTTTAGTCCCTAAATGTCATTGTCTGTGATTTCACTCTTCAGTTCTAGAGGGAAAGGCACATGTCAACAGTCTGGCTGTCAACAGTTTGCCCTGAAGATGAAAAAAACCAAGAGTCACCAAAGGGACAGTTACTCCAACAGCAATGGGTAGAAGGTAAAGCATATGCAATCCTAGAAATGCTACATTTCTAAGTGATTGTGTCTATGGATAGAGATAATTATAGAACTAAGCTCTTATAGAAACCCCAATCCCCAAAGTCCCTTTATCTTGCCAGAGACCGATATATGATTTTATATTGAACTCCCATCTCTC